CCCCAAAACCCCAAAACCCCAAAACCCCAAAACCCCAAAACCCCAAATTATAAATATAATATTGAAATAACATTGATGAACTTGGGAGCAACCAGCTTCAGTGTCCTTATATGTAAGAGAGTCTCTTTGATCTTACAAGGCAAGGTCCCACTAAATTTAGTGTAATTTTATATACCGAGATCGCCTTATAAGCAGGCGGGATAATTATCTCAGGTTAACTTACTCCAGATTGCCTGGTTTAATGACCTTAAGCAATTTTATTTAGCCAAGAAAAGGAATGAGAAGAGGAATTCTGATAAAAATATTCTTGGAGCATTCCAACTCAACGGTATGTATTTTTCATCTAATTCTGTCTGCAAGATCGGGTAATTTCGCCTCTTCAGTTTCCAAATTTCAGCATGGTTATTAATGTTTCATAGAAGGCATCAAAAATTCCAGTAATGATAGGAGCATCACTTCAATAAAAGGTAGGAATTATGGAGCAGGTTTAAGGGCAAACTTTGGAGAAACCAAAATGTTGGACAATTAGTCCACTCAACCTGATAGATATAGATACCTGGAATGTTATAAATACCCGGTAGAGATAATAAGTCATAACTATTAAATAAGCTTGTCTCTGAAATCCAGTAGTCTACTGTAGTGATTTCAGAAAAATTCTGAGCTAAGTTTTGACAAAATTAGGCCTTTACAATGAAGAAATATGCTGATTATGAGCATATGGTGGTAGCTTTAAGGAATTTAGTCTAACATTTGTAAGTATACAATCTTGCAATCCTCAAAAAGGGCAATATTTCTGACCTTGAGACACTTTTTATATGAATTGTTCATATAAGACATTCAGCAAGATGTCACTAAACTTATGATATCTATAACCCCAAAACGGATAAATAACTAGATATATTTTTATTTTGCCAAACTGTTTTATTCCTTTTAAGTTAAATGTGTCAAAGTTGCCCAACTTGGGAAGTCATGAATTCTCTACCAGAAATATCCGGATACTGTTGCTATTCCAGGACAGTATCTCTTCATCAGGTTTTAATTGAGTATAGCTAAAAGATTCAAGTATTCCAACAATAAGAAGGTAAGAGCCATCGAAAATTTTCTGTGTGAAAGTCTTATCCTAAGCTTCACTGCTGAGCTAATTCATGCTAAAAATTGTGCACTTATCAAAAAGTTTTGGGGTAATTGCTGATCATTTGTTTAGAAGAGACCCATTGGTATCAAGATTGGCATGAGATACTCAAAAATAGAGAAAGAGAGGATGTCTCCAATGCAGAATTTCGAAGATTTATTCAAGCCAAAATAATTTTCATAGTCTGAATAGCGTATCTATTACAGAGCATGAGTAGGTTTCTACCTTTCAAACTTATATTGAGTCGGTTTCTATTAAATTAACATGATTGTGATTATTCATAGGACTTATGAACTCCCTCAAATTAACCCAGAGAGCAGCACTAAGAATGTACAAAGCAATAGTAAAGGGTTGATCTTATTTTTAGATAGTTTTAAGCAAAGGTTTTCAATGCAACATAAGAAGCTAGAACCTATTCGTACGATATGTTCCTTTCGGAATAGGAGATCTACTATGAATGCAGATTCTGGGGATGATAATTCCTCTCACAGCCCGATGACTTCCACTATAAAGCCTCCATTACATCCTCTTGTGTTGAAGAAATAAAGAAGAGACATTTGAGGAAGAAATAAGCAATTTGAAGGCCCAGAATACCCCATTAGGCAATGATACTCCTCCTCAGCAGTTGTATAAGTCAAAGACTAGAGGTCCAGCAACAGAGGATGAGATAATGTCCATCCTGGTTAACAAAGTCGTTGAGAACAACGTCTACAAAGACTATGAAGAAGGCAAGGAGGAAGTCCAGACTGAGGAATTCGATTACTTCAATGACAAGCTCCTCAAGTTCAAACTCATGAAGGTCAAAAACATCTTGGCGCCTACCTACGAGATGAACAAAGAAGAAGGTGAGAAGATTAGGCACAAGATCAAGATGGATGCCCAGAATGAGATGGATACAATCATCAAGAAAACCCTTAATGAGAATCTTAAGTTGAGCAAGAAGGGCAAAACTCGAATTTTACAGAAGAAACTCACTGAAGTATCCTCTGATAGTACCTCAGAGGGATCAAACTCGTTCCAGTCTAGTCATATGAAAGGCAAGAACCACCTGAAGAACCGAGTTATTAGAATAAAGCAGAAGAAAAAGAATAAGAAAAGTTTAATGAGCAAGCTTGATGTAATCCGCAATAATATTTACCGTAAGAAAATGACTGAAAATGTGAATACTAAGAGCTTAAATCATACCAATGACCCTTTCCTCTCCCTTCAGGACTTGAAGAAGGAGACGAAACGCAAAGGGATCTTTGATAGGAAGAAAGAGGCCAAGAATGGCCTCAAGTCTACTTTAGACACCCACTCAGAACAGACCAAGAGATCTGTTCTGAACCTTAATCATGTTGAGGACTTCTTTGAAGATCATGAATAGAACTATTTATAATAAGTTTTCCAGAAAAGTCTATACTTCAGTTGCCTGTCATTGTTTGGGGTTTTGGGGTTTTGGGGTTTTGGGGTTTTGGGG